CAGTGCTGGAAAATGTAGTATTGATCAAAATGTTCACTTGTTAAATGATATCCTTCTGCAGCAGGAAAAAGGAATGAGCAGAGAGACAGATGCATGATGGGAAAACAGATTTGCTACCTGGTCCATTCAACTGTGATAAACTTCTTACTTTCCTCTCATCCCAGCTCTGGTTTGTCACTTTGTTCAGTTTATCAAACTGACAAGATACACGAGTCACTGTCAGGTGCATGTCTCGACTAACTGGAGTCTCATCCTCACTCAGATGTGCTGTCTTGCAAAATGAGCAGATTGAGGATCAGGCGTTGTTCAGAAGTATCCTTAAAGGGGAGAACTTCTGTGTTGTCATGTCACGTATTGAGTTCATCAAAGCCTTAACAACCCTTTTATTTAGTTTTAGTTGTCTTATATAAAGCTGCACTGTGTGTATGAAGCCTTTGTTAAACTTTACCCAACTCAACAGCTCTATGAGGCTTTTAAGTCTCTCTTCATTATTTCTGTCTTACAGCATGTATGGTTACTGAAGTTTTGGCTTAAGTTCAGTTCTTTCATGTTTCCACTTTATTACTCTGAGTACATTTCTACTTTTTCTTCCCACTCTAATCCTCTCTGTCACTCTGCCACACTGCCAAACTCACCTTATCAGACCAGGTATTTCTTTCAGGAGCTGGTAGAGACCAGCGGTGGGACTAAGTCATTGTCTTGAAAGTCACAGATACGTCTCAAGTCTTTGCACTCAAGTCCCAAGTTAAATCTCAGATCAAGACAGGCAAGTCCCACATGCTAAATTTTGAGTTTAGAGTCATATGTCATAATGTGCTCTTCACCAAATATAATGCCATATTAACAGTTAAAAGTGCTTCACAATAAAGGCATTATAAGCGCTGAGTCATATCATAAGATCAGGTAAGATTTCAAAAGATTTGCAGCAGCATGAAGTGTAAAACTAAAGAGTTTCAGACCTGTATGAGGAAAGTCAGAACTAGTTAAAAGCTAAAGTGAACAGATACGTTTTTAGGTTTCTTTTAAAACTAATAAGCGAGCTAGCTTCCCTGACATCTATACGTAGTGTGTTCCATAGCTTTGGGGTGTAACTGACAAAGGCTTCATCTTCCGGCTGTTGCTAGGAACCTCCAATAAACCAGCAGCAGATGATCGCAGTGTTCTTGGAGGTAAATAGCTAGCAAGGGAGTTAGCGATGTAGCTCGGTCCCAGCCCATTTAGGGGTTTGTATACAAGAAGGAGGAGCTTAAAATCAATTCTAAATGTAACAGGAAGTCAGACTGGCCTGATGTGCTCTCTCCTCTTGGTTCTGGTGAATAGCCGAGCTGCAGAGTTTTGAATGAGCTGAAGTCTCAGTGGTGTTTTTTGGGAGGCCAGTCAAAGGTGTGTTACAGTAGTCGAGGTGGCTTGAAATAAAGGCAAAATTGGACTGACAAAAATCACACTTTTTAAAATCTAGACTTATTTATTAAAACAAGCTTGTTGGAAGTTGATGCCTCTACACCTGTAATCTCTGATTTGCACGTTTCAGTTTTTGGTTCTGCACTGCGTAGTTTTTGAAAGCGAGCAATGTTGTATTTGGTATTCATTTTTCCAACTGGTGCTGTGTCGACTTGCTAGTAATTAATAGTGTTTATGTCAGTTGATTCAAGCAATGAAGGGATATCAATTGATTTGTGGCACACCTTTTAATTTTTGGGCTTGGGGACGGGTATCAAGTATTTTCAAGTCAAAAGGCTCAAGTCCAAGTGAAGTTTAAGATTCTAAGAGTTGCAAGTCTTTTTGGATTTGTGGAGTGATCAAACTTGTGACTCCAGTCTGACTTGAGTCCAAGTTGTTTTACTCTGGAAGACAAACAGTGCTAAAAGAAGAGTAAATACTGGATTTACATTTGAAAGGTAGCCAGAAATATGACCCCAAATTAATAATGTAGCATAACCTAACATTAATGTTGTGTTCACTTCTTGTTTCTGCTGCCCTCAAGTGGTAGAAAAGAACAATTTATTACATGTCAGGTAAGATAACTGCATGTCTGCATGATCTGCATACACATTCTCAGTGAACATTCTACCAAATTATAGCTCATGTGTTTGCATAGCTTTTGTGAGGGCACATCATTTTACACCTGGTCCCAGATATTAAGGACTCTGCAATGTGAAAAACGTCCTGTCATCCTAAAAACTCTAAATGCCCCTTCAACATAACTGTTGACAATGTCAGCTCCACACTCTGCTCACGTAAAGACGGTGTTGATTACTTTGCACTGCCTAATATTGCATAATCCTTACTTTGTGACCCTTTTTACTCGGTGTTGGGCCATTTGCCTCCGACTGTTTTAATTTATGCCTGGGCATTAAATCCTTATTGAACATTACGGAGGCCAAGTGGTGCAAGCAATAACATGAATAATCCATTGGCAGTTCCTGTTAGACCGAAAGCGAATGAGACCTCAATCACCATTATGCTCAGAGGGGAGTGAAACCAGGCAGTAGTAGCATCAGCTTTCCCCCCTAAAAACAGAATATGCTTTGGCATATTGAAGTTGTAAACATCCATCTCACTAAAGGGGGTTGTCCTTGAATGTATTCAATATCATTGAGCATTTTCTCTGCAGATGTATAATGAAGGATGGATGGATGGATGGAAGAAATAAATTGATCTCTGGTGTTTTTTGTGGAGGGCTACTACAAGCTTCGCTTTTAAAAATATGAACCAGAGCCAACTTATGAGCCTCTCCTTCTAGCTATACAATCGTTATTGCTCATTAGCTCACAGTACAATACAACCATTAATTGCCTAATATGCAAATCTTTACAACCACTGCTTGGTTTCACCTGGCTTCACATGTAAGATGGAGCTGTAGATGTAACTCGGAAAACTTGTGGAGGGGTAATTCTTTCTTAAAATACATAATTTCGCCCCACTCTAATTTCTCAGGAAGAAAAATGGACTTATCTTAACAGCTGCTTAGTATAGAGACCATTTTAAATTCTTCACGCAGCTCTATCGCTTATTCCAGGCACGTCCGTCAATCTGCCTGTGAAATGAAGAGCCAAAGGTGACTGATCCAGACACATCAGCTCCTTTTCGACCACCTGACAACACTTCCTGAAATCTTCACACTTGCACATGAATTTATTCTTAGCTCGCTGCTGCCTTCCACAACACGGCTCATGCTCGGGCTTTGCGTGGCGCGAGTGGGCAACAAGTACAGTTTATGCAAAGTGGTTATGATGGCTGGTGCAAAAGATTTAATATAAAGAAATAAAGGAAATAAAATGTAAGAAAGTGAGAACAGAGCATTGCAGATTAAACCTTAAGGAATTTCTGTCATTATTTAATTACACCAGAATTAATTTGCGTTATTACAAACACAATACTCTTAGGATTCTTTTAATTTAAAGTATTTGCAGACCAAAACACTCTGTAGTCTCAAAGCATGAAAATGAAATTCCAAGCATTATCACATACTTGGCTGTCAAATTTAAAATGCTACGACTTTTTCAACTCAGCCCTTCTGAGATACATCACAGTCAACACTGAAAATGCTTTTTAATAAAAATATTTATTCCCCATTCATTTGATATAACCTTGAATGTCTATGCTGGTTTTTGAGTAAGACATTTACATCACAGATATCATCTTTGTGTTGTTACAATCTCCATTCTCAAATCAAAAGTGCAAATTGTTTGCTAAACCTGGGAGCAGATTTCATGATGCTAGCTGGCTTGATTAAACACTAACTGCTCTCCGTGGCAATGTTCCAGTTATAGGAATCACATGTTCATATTGGTAAAGATACTGACATTACTTTAACGCCAATACAGTAAACAGTAAACAATGCTTTGACAAACTCCCACACCAGAGTGTATGAAATGACAGCCTCATGTTAAAGTTTTAAGGTAGGCATCAAAAGTGCTTCCTGTCGAAGATAACAACAATAAATACTGATATATTCCATACGTTTATAGTAATCTTAATTAGCATGTTTTGTTCAATAAAAAAGGAAGAGAATTCCTGGTGAACTAACAAGTACCTGAAAATAACAACAACCCTTTTCCGTGATATCGCAATCCATTCTCATCCCAGGTTGTCGAATACTTTCCACTGTCACGCCCCTCAGATTCTCATAGCGACGCACAAGCCACACAGCTGAAACAGTGTAACGTGTTTAATGTGAAATGGATGCAGTTGGGAGAAGTTTTCCTGGAGGGCTTCCTGTCAGAAAGGGATTTCTTGGTTAAGGCAGGAAAAAAGTTGTGGTTTGGGTTAAAATGATTGGTTTTCTGTCAGAAAAGGCTTTCTGAGAAAAAGCCCACAAGGAAAACTTCTTCCATGTGCAAAACGGTCAGGGTTGGGCTCTTGAAGTAGCTACATGCCCATTAGCCATTTAGCACAATCATTACTGCTTTGCCGACAGCGTCATTAACAGGCGGCTGGCTCAGTGTGTGACGTGCACTTGTAGATAAAATATAGGCCTATATTAATGAAGGTTCATTAGTACGGTTTTGTATTTCTCTGTAATGTAGCACAGTGTTAACAATGTTACTGACACTATTCTTTCTCACACCTTCAACTCAAACCATTGTGTTGCCCCGCCCAAAATATATCATTTAATAATTAAATTAACATCGTAAACATGTGGGCGACTAGTCGACTGATGGCCCTAAATGATGACTATTGGTCCAGTAGGAAAATTCTTAGTCGGGGGCAGCCCCAATATTGTGACATGAATACGGCATGAGTGACGTCAGTGAGCGACAACGGTACATAAATGAAGTAACATTACATAAAAACAACATTGACTTTGGTTTCACACGGGAAGGAGCAACTTAGGTGATGTAATATTGAGTTAAAAAAAACACTGGCTTTTGGTTTCACGCTGGACACAAACTGTGGTCTCCTGGATAAAAGTCCATTTTTGTTTGACCCATTCATTTTTATACTGTTTATATTATATTATTATCAGTTGCTCTCAGCATCATATTCTGCGTATGGGTTTACATTGGAGATACTGTCTCATGAAGACGCCAAATGGGGCCTTCAGTGTCGATATCACACGCCGAGGGGCATGACAAGGTGTTGGTATTTGACCCCCTGGGAAACAGGAACAGGCTTGATATCCTGCAGTGACACCTGTTAAAACCTGTATGCAAAAACAACTCTTATAATAATAACCCAATGTGAGTACACATTCAGATACCCTGCTGTGTTTTATCCCCCAAAGACCTCTGAAAAACTGTATAACATGATTGTAGGATCTCTCTCAAAACAAATAGTAACACAACCTGATTGTCTAGAATCCAGCGAGTGTCCTTATCGGCAATGACGTCCAAAATCTCTGCAGGGCAAAGTGGTTTCAGTGCATTTTCCACCACTGTGAGAAAGCATTTCTGACCAGATCATGTGTTCACTGGACAGATAAGAACCAGGATTGGCTTCACTGAAGAATAAAAAATATAACCTGTTCCACAGATTACCCATTTCCATAGTCTTGATATGCAGTTTGTAACAGCTGATGATTCGGTGTTGACTTGAGTCTGTCATTCAGCTCATTGTCTCCACAGGAGTGTCTTAAATCCACATCTCTACCTCCAGAGAGAAATTAGAGACACTAATCATGACATCAATGATATCGGAGTGCTGTTTCTGATCATCTTCTCCGTGTGACGTCTTGTTGAACAGACATGATGCTCTGTTTTAACTTCCTCGTAAACAGGTGACTGGTTCTTCCGCAGTACGTGTTTGTGGTGGTCTGTAGTGTCGCTTCCAGCGGCTGAAGTAATGAGGTCTCCATGTTGTCACCAAACGGGTACTACAATGTGAAAAAAAAATCAGATTATATTACAGCTTTATGAAGTATCTTCAATTTAAGTCGTTCTCCTGCATAACTTAAAGACTCAAAACGTGCTTTAAATGAAAGAAAATCAAGCCTAAGTACGTTTGTGCACCTGTTGCCTGCTGTGGCGGCCCTGACGGGAGGACGAGAACTGCATTCAAATCACACAAATTAAGTGCCACATTTATCACTGTCACTTCAGGACAATAACATTCTGCATTTGATTCAAAACTGTCAATTTCAGACTGTGTTTGGATGATGAATATCTGTTACCAAAACTATACAAGAATGGGCTCAGTAGGGCGTAACAGCGCTGGTGAAAGCTACAGCTGCAGCATTCCAGATATGCTTCATTATTGGATGCTTTTGTGTCACCAAGTGAACAGCAAAGATAAAACTTCCAGCTCTTCAGCTGGCTAATATAAGCAGCGGAGGCTTTTGTCACGTAGCGTATGTAAATAAGGACGCTTTTGTTTTTGTTTCCGGGCACGCCATTCTTTCACTGCTCCAGTAAATAAGAAGAAATCACTCTTTTACAGCATCTCGTTTGACTCTGGTTTGGTCAAGCATTAGGTAAATCAAAGCACACTTTCTTTATTATCTTTCATATACTGCGGCAGGCAATAAAGCACCATTAACAGCCTCCTATCGATTTTTATGTGGATGCTGCTGGTGCGTTGTCCACACAGCCATCATGATGTCTCAAACTAGCATCAGCACTAAAAATTTTACAACTCTTCTGTGGGCTTGGCTGCGTAATGGTACTGCCCTTTATTGCAAGCTCCTCTGCTTGCTGGGAGAGCCTGCCTTGGGAGCCGGGCTGACTAAGGAGCTCTTGGTGGGATAGAAATGAGAGTTTCCTCCAGAATTGCCTGCTCCAGGCTTTAGGATGCTGTCCTCAAAGGACTGAGTGGGAACAAAGTGGGAGGCGGCCTGAGGAGCTGGAGCAACAGGAAGCGCTGATAAAAGCTTCAACAAAATATACAACAAAGGATGAAACGCTCCTCAGTTAGACCGGGCTCTTTTCTAACAAGCTAATTGTACTACAAAGCCCTGTATCTTACATTTATCACACATATTATGATTACTAATGACAACCATCAGCTCTTCACCACCTCCTAAAATCAGGTGGAGTCTGGTATGTGCCGCCTTGGATGCTGTATGCGTGTTTGTGCTGTCGGGGAGACTGATGGAGGCATGAGGGCCGAGTGCCCCATAATGAAGCCCGCTCGTTTACTTAATGGCTGAGAACATTGCCCGCACTGATAGTGGCCAGGCTGAGCCCTGTGGCGGTAATGGATGGAGACCAGCTAATGAAGCTTCCCTTACTCCCCCGATTGCTGCCTGCATGTTGACCGGTGTGCTGAAATCAACGAGAGCAGATCGAAGGCAGGGAGAGAGCTCTGCGGCTGACTTGCCAGCTCACTGATGAGGGATGTGTAAGTGGACTTTTAAGCTCTGAGAGCTGAAACACATCGCATAAATAACGCATGGTAAATCTGACAGATGTCATACTTTTCTATTCCAAGTTCTGTCTTCATGTTCAAGTGCCAGCAATGCATTGGCAGTGCTCTGCAGGGTGTCATACCAACTTAAGGACGCTACAGTTTTGAAAATGTTTAGAGTTTACACAGAACGCATAAAGAGACAGCCAGACCTCACCAGCTGTTCCAAGTGAAATGAGGCCTACGCACAAACCCAGGAGGAAATTAAAAGATGAGGGAGGTGATTTTGTTTTTCTTATTGTCAACAAGTCCAATGAAAAGACAAAAAACAACAACTAACAAAAGTATTGTCTGTGTGTCCCAGCTCTGTATAGCTTATCCCTCTGAGCCATAGACCTCTATTGTTGTCCAAAAACTTGTAAAAGCATATAAATGAGCAAAACTGTTTTGCTCGCTGACATATTTCTTCATTACGTGAATTTTAGTCTTTGAAACCCTGTTTCCACCAAGCAATATGATACGGTTCAGTTGTTCAGTACGCCTTTTTCCCCATTTCCACTGTGAAAAGTTGTGGATGATACCAATGGAACCGTTCTGTACCATCCCCATTTTTGGTCCCCCCTCTGTTGGGGTACCTAGCACACAGATCTGATACTAACAGGTGGAGCTGTGAACACTGCAGTCTATTGATTGGTTGGCTTGGTGGGCTCCAGCAACACGAAACCCCTGAGCTTGCCTTAGAAGGACTAAATGCACAAACAAATATCTCATGGAGAGAGACTCTCGCTGCAGCCTGTTTTATTTTGTTAGGAAAATGTCGACGTGCAGCCTCGTTCTATGGACGATAAACAAGGTACAGGCTTCCCTCTGTGTCACCAGTAATGAGGAATACAGTGGGTGACAACAACACCGCCCACATTTAGGAGTACTGTTTGCAGTGGAAACCCTAGGGTCTAGCATGTCTGAAGGGTTACTATACTGAAAGTGTTTGGTGGAAATTGGGCTTAAGTTCAATCAATTTTATTTATAAAGCCTAATATCACAAATCACAATTTGCCTCACAGGGCTTTACACCATACGACATCCCTCAGTCCTTTGGACCCTGACAGCGGATAAGGAAAAACTCCCCAAAAAAACCCTTTAACGGGGAAAAAACAACAACAGCTAAAGCAATTCCAGAGGTCGAAGCCAGTTGGGGCTGATTTCTCTGGTTTGGGAGAGGCAAGACAGGATGACGGAAATGTTTAACAGGCTATTGATTAAGCACTGGTGGACGGAAGCATCTATGAGAGAAAAGCAATGGCCTGGAGTGCCTATTGATATTGTAATGACAAGAAAATGGTTCTCCAAATAGTCTGGTCTACCTACACAACTGCTCTCTGAAGAAAAAGAGGCACCAGAAAGAAAATCCATAAAAATGATCGCTCCTCGGTAGAATAAACAAGGCCTTTCAAACATAACTTCGCCTTACATTAAGTTTTTCAGATAGCTGTGTCTGGAACTCTGTCCAAAGTTTTGAGAGAATAAGTAGACTCACTTTTAATCAGGAATCTTTTGCAATACATGGTGATTATTAACAAATAAGAACCCTTGAGTTTTTTAATTTACTGTTGGGGCTCAGGGTAACCACAGATTTCTAGTTGAAGAGGCTGTTTCTACCTTTTGGATGGCCTCGTAGACTGCTCGAAATGCAGGCTGCTTGTCATCATGGTAAACTCCCCTGTTCCCATGGAGAATGAATACACCGTCTTCATCAGCCTGTTGACAGTTGCTGCCGTAGATACAGTGGTCTGGACGGTAGTTCCATTGGCAGGGGAACACATACAGGCTTTCTGTAACACAACAAGAGACATGATTGGTTGATAAGGATTATAAATAACCGGGTTCATTTAATGAAAATCTGGTACAAAACCTCAAATATCTGTTTAATTGATGGTAAATCTCCCAAACACCTAATATTTTAACGAAGCCTTGTTAGTGTCCTGAACTAACTTAACATTCATGACTCATAATGATGCTGTGTATGTAAAGGCACAAACCTGGGTTTTGGTGAAATATGATATTAAGGAGGTCCTGGTCACCCCAGGTGATATTGAGTTTATACTTCTGGAGAAGGGGCATCAGAAGTTCCTCCCACTTGAGTGCAACTGTTGTCATGTCATTCTAGCAGGAAAAATACAATAATCAAGAAAGCATTCACATCATTTTGCATCAGGAAAGCAAAGACCTGCAATTCTGGCAAAGAACTACTTTTTGTCAACACTTTACATTAAGTCAAAGAAACTGTTCGGTCTTCCTATCGAGTGTGTTCATTCTGACAGCTTAGACAGGAATTACAAGAGTGACCTCTGCTGGTGAATCTTGGTGGTACAGCTACCATTACAGCCTCCTGCAGTATGCACAACTATTTTTCACTGTCTAAATTGCACACATCCCTACATGTATCAATGATTAACTGAATTAAAAAAATGTTTATGTTTAACATTACAGAATTATATGACATCATGATGTACTGGTGTATTAAAATGGCAACAGCACAAAGCCAAAGCTGACAGCAGTTTACATGCTGCAAAAAAACTACATGAAATTTTTTTTTTTTTTTTGTATCTATGCATTACCTTAAAGGATTTTTCCCTGAGGCGCGTCATGTTCATAAGCATGACCCCTGAGTTGATGCCTGTTTTGCCATAATAAGGGTGGCGGGCAAAACGATTGTACCAGCCAATGCGTGGCTCCTCGTGCTCCGGAGCCATGGCAGCTAAGTGGCTTGAATTAAACTGAGAAAGAAGGCCCCAGATGTCCTCTACTGGCTGCAGGAAAATGATGTCTGTGTCCACATAGAGCAAAGAATCCACGTCCTTCAGGATCAGCTGGAAAACACACCAAAATAAACTCATGAGCACATTTTTGCAAATGTTTAATTGTCAACAGGTATATGCATAAAGGATAAAATAAGACCTACTGGCAGGAAGAGCCTCTGAGAGGCACAAGGTTTGAAGAGCTTCTTCCACTCATTTGCATTCTCCTTGGGAAATGTGATGGGGTAGATGGTGAAGTTAAACTTGGTCTGAACTGTTCTTGGCCAGGAGTCCAGCTTTAAGAAAAGATAACCACAAAAATGTACCTCAACAATATCCACATGTGCGCTTGTAGCTTAACTTGTTCATTATAAACGTGATTTATCTCAGCCTTTGGGCCAAAAAGTGAAAACAACCTTGTAAAATTAAGACTTTGGTATAAAAACATTCCTGCATGCAGACTGGCAGTTTCTCTAACTTGCCTTGACCTTGCTTGCACAATGTGTGCAGTGGTTTCAATAATGCCTTTTAAATGTGATTCTGTATACACCAGTGACAATGACGTATGACATCAGAGAGACAGATTTAGTCATAACTGAGCTATTACTTTATAACCAGAAAATAAATACACAAGTACATGAAAGTCCTGGGGTTGTTGGGGGAAGACACTTACAGCATTTCTGAAGCGCTCATGTAGATCATCCTCAGCAAAGATGTAAAAGTGCAGAGGCTTCCTGCTGAGGAGAACGGCAGACTTCAACATGGTAAGAGTCTCCTCTAGCCTGGAGCCACAGGCCACCACAGCCAGGTGACTTCTCTCATCACGCTGCTCCTTTACTGCAGAAGCTGACCTCTCTCTAGGAGCCAAAACAAAGTAAAATGAGTTAGTAATCAACCCTGACTTCTATGTGTACACCAGCACGGATACGCTGACAAGTGCAGGAGTGTACAAAGTAATGAAGATATCAGCTGGCTCAGCTGACGGGTGTTCAGCCCTGGAGGGTTGGAACTGTCATAAGGTTTAATGAAAGGATGTAGGACAGGACTCTCTCTCTCATGCTCTGTGCTGCCTCCAAGCGCTCCTCGTAAACTACTCTGAAGCTCACAAATTATGAATGTAATTTGTCACACATTTCAAAGACCACTTTGCCAGCTTTCAATCATATCTTTGTATGCATGTCATAGTGTGGTGAGCCTACAGACACAATTATAAATGACTAAATTCTATTCATTTGTACAAGACTCTAGTTAATCTGCCTACACTTAGACTTTGAATCACAAAAAAGTAAAGCTACTACTCCACCTATGACTGCATTACTGTGTGTAGAAGCAGAGTGATAAAAAACAAGAGTCTGATATGTTTAATGGTGTATATACACTCACCAGCCACTTTATTAGGTACACCTGTTCAACTGTATATTAACGCAAATAGCTAATCAGCCAATCACGTGGCAGCAACTCAATGCATTTAGGCATGCAGACATGGTCAAGACGACCTGCTGAAGTTTAAACCAAGCATCAGAGAAGAAAGGTGATTTTAGTGACTTTGAACGTGGCATGGTTGTTGGTGCCAGACAGGCTGGCCTGAGTATTTCAGAAACTGCTGATCCACTGGATTTTCACACACAACCATCTCTAGGGTTTACAGAGGAAGGTCTGACAAAGAGAAAATAACCAGTGGGCGGCAGTTCTCTGGGAGAAAATGCCTTGTTGATGCCAGAGGTCAGAGGAGAATGGCCAGACTGGTTCAAGATGATACAAAAAAGCAACAGTAACTCAAATAACCAGAGAGGCTACAGCAGCAGAAGACCACACCAGGTGCCACTCCTGTCAGCTAACAACAGGAAACTGAGGCTGCAATTCACACAGGCTCACCAAAACTAGACAATACAAGATTGGAAAAACGTTGTCTGGTCTGATGAGTCTGGATTTCTGCTGAAACATTCAGATAGTAGGGTCAGAATTTGGTGTAAACAACATGAAAGCATGGATCCATCCTGCCTTGTATCAACAGTTCAGGCTGGTGGTGGTGGTGTAATGGTGTGGGGGAGATTTTCTTGGCACACTTTGGGCCCCTTAGTACCAACTGAGCATGGTTTAAACACCACAGCCTACCTAAGTATTGTTGCTGACCGTGTCCATCCCTTTATGACCACAGTGTACCCATCTTCTGATGGCTATTTCCAGCACAACATGTGATGTCACAAAGCTCAAATCATCTCAAACTGGTTTCTTAAACATGACAGCGAGTTCACTGTACTCCAATGGCCTCCACAGTCACCAGATCTCAATCCAATAGAGCACCTTTGAGATGTGGTGAGGCAGATTATTCACATCATGGATGTGCAGCCAACAAATCTGCAGCAACTGCGTGATGCTCTGATGTCAATATGGACCAAAATTGCTGCACCTTGTTAAATCTATGCCATGAAAAATAAGGGGGTCCAACCTGATACTAGCAAGGTGTACCTAATAAGGTGACTGGTGAGTGTATAAATGTCAATCTGTGACAGATTGTAGGCTAAAATGTCATGTAGAAGAATGCATTTTTACACCAAATTGGCTATACACCAACAACTCTCACTGTCACTGTCCAAGTTGTCAACATTAGATGTCAAGAGTAGTTTCAAGGTGCACTGTGAGAGCAGCATTTATTCTGCAGTTACTCTGAACTGTGGATCTACAGTAGTAGCTGAAAGTTTGAAGTTGAAGTCTGCTCATTCTAAAGAACACTGGTGTCTAATGACAGAGATGCACAAAATCATTCATACCTAAGAGATGATCCCAATAAGCAGTTCACTCCACAAACACCAGCAGGCAGTCTCCAATATGGATTCCAGTAAGAAACTGACAGTGATTTACACCTGACAGAATAATATAAAAACATGATCTTTTTTGGACTCCTCAGCATTGAATTAATCTCTTGGACATCAGACATGTTTTGGGATTAGATTTAGCCTGAAGTGCCTCCTACAGTTAGTTGTATAACAGGTGGCCGTCCTTTAAATCCAGCCAAAAGCTAATGAGGCATGGAATTAGTTAACGTTAGCTGGCAGTAACGTTAATGGTTAAGCAATTATCTAACGTTAGCTATCTAGCTAACAGCTACCACTCGCTAGCTAACAGCACAATTAACATACTGACTGTATTTTCAGTTTATCCAGCTAAGGTTAAAATATTATTGCGGTTAACATTAACCTCAGCAAGTCATCTGACGTTTCAACGGCAACATTACATAATATTTTGGTCCAATTTTACAGGCGCTAAATTTATAGCAACTCAAAGTGTAACTAAAGCTACTTAGCACCAGCTAACTATCAATGTGCCCAGTAATGAAATGACGTTAAAACGTTAGCTAGCTAGCTTAGCTACCTGTCAAACCCGTCTTCGCGGTCTCGAAGGCCTGCCAGCCCGGGCCTTTTCCTGAAAAGGTGCCCGGAGTCATGACTGCGCCTGTCGGATATCCCCTGCTCCTTCAAGCCCCAGTCGTCTCCGTCCTCCAAGGTGGAGGCTAGCTGGTTGAACACGTACAACAGTGAGAAGAAGGTGAAGACCAAGCACAGGAGAAGTGCTTGAAGGTAGCATCGCATTTTGCGTTTCTAATTTTGTGCGCTAACGGAACATTTTGGTTGATCTTAGCTACCATCTGACGCGCTGTCAGCCAACTAATCTATCTGATAAATCAAGTCAAGAGCTAAGCCGAAGAGCACAGTTGGTGTTTACTGTTTCCGCCCCACCCACGTCTGTTGCACGTGTGTCGCGTTTGATCAACCATCTGTCAGGAGCAGTGTGTGTACAGCAGACAGCCAGGTAGCACCCAGGACTCAGAGCTCTGTGCGCAAGTTTCATAAATCATATATAACATGTCACACAGGATGGCAGCACAGGGTCAGACATACTAGTTGATGGTTAATAAAGAGACCCAACCCAAATCCTCTCTTCTTAGTATGTTATAAATAAGGATTGTGTATAACACACCCACTGCAGTGGGCCTACAGGTTCTGATTTGACAACCAAGTAAAAAGGGCAAAAGACCACACCACATGAAATGTTAACAGCTTATTTCATTGGATAAATATCTTACAACTAAAGGGGGAAACATCTGTACTCATGAGGTCCTCCTGTCTCTACTATTAAGAGTCAATGTCAGTGTGTAGTTAGCAGGGGAGGAAGAGGGAGTCCAAGGCCAAGGGTTGCAGTGCTGCAGGTCTCTTGCTTTTTCAGTCCATCCACAAATTAACTCACTTGGTGCAGTCCTCTTTGAGCCACACCATGGATGGACAAGGTCGGTCACACCTCAGCCTTCAGGAGTGTACCCTTGCCTGTGCAGAGAGAGCACAACCAGGACAAGAGACAGCAGTGTTTGCAGCACATGCTTTAACAAACTCAGTGTGAGGAGGCACACACCTGCCTTCAGTCAGACCCAAACTTAGAGCTACTGTGAAGTCTCTCCACCCCAGACATTCACACAAAACAACTCCCCATTGTGTCAGTCATATACAGTCAGGTCCATAATTATTTGGACAATGATACAGTTGTCGTCATTTTGGCTCTGTACACCACCACAATGGGTTTTAAATGAAACAATGAATACCTGCTTAAAGTGCAGACTCTCAGCTTTCATTTAAGGCTTTTTTCAAAAATGTAGTATGAACCATGTAGGAATTACAACCATTTCTTCACACAGTCCCCAGACTTTAAGGGTTCATAAGTATTTGGACAAACTAACATAATCATCAATTAAACAGTCAGTTTTAATACTTGGTTGCAAATCCTTTACAGTCAATGACTGCCTGAAGTGTTGGACACATAGACATCATCAGACGCTGGGTTTCTTCCCTGGTGATGCTCTGCCAGCCCTTTACTGCAGCCGTCTGCACTTCCTGATTGTGTTTTGGGTGTTTTGCCCTCAGTTTTGGCTTCAGCAAGAGAAACGCATGCTCAGTTGGATTCAGGTCAGATGATATGACTTGGCCATTGCAGAACATTCCACTTCTTTGCCTTAAAAATGTCTTTGGTTGCTTTTGCAATATGCTTCAGGTCAATGTCCATCTGCACTGTGAAGCATCGTCCAATGAGTTTTGAAACATTTAATTGAATCTGAGCAGATAATGGTGCCCCAAACACTTCAGCTTTCATCCTGCTGCTCTTGTCAGCAGTCACATCATCAATAAATACAAGAGAACCAGTTCCACTGGCAGCCATACATGGCCATGACATAACAGTACCTCCACCATGCTTCACTGATGAGGTGGTGTGCTTTGGATCATGAGCAGTTCCTTCCCTTCTTCCTTCTCTTGTCTTCCCATCATTCTGGTAGTTGATCTTTGTTTTATCTGTCCATAGTATGCTGTTCCACAACTGTACAGGCTTTTTAGATGGTTTTTGACAAACTCTAATCTGGCCTTCCATTTTTAAGGGTAACCAATGGTTTGCATCTTGTGATAAACCCTCTGTATTTATTCTAGTGAAGTCTTGTCTTGCTTACAAGAGCAGCAGGATGAAAGCTGAAGTGTTTGGGGCACCATTATCTGCTCAGATTCAATTAAATGTTTCAAAACTCATTGGACGATGCTACACAATACAAATAAACATTGACCTGAAGCATATTGCAAAAGCAACCAAAGACATTTTTAAGGCAAAGAAGTGGAATGTTCTGCAATGGCCAAGTCATATCATCTGACCTGAATCCAACTGAGCATGCGTTTCTCTTGCTGAAGCCAAAACTGAGGGCAAAACACCCAAAACACAAGCAGGAAGTGCAGACGGCTGCAGTAAAGGGCTGGCAGAGCATCACCAGGAAAGAAACCCAGCATCTGATGATGCCTATATGTCCAACACTTCAGGCAGTCATTGACTGTAAAGGATTTGCAACCAAGTATTAAAACTGACTGTTTAATTGATGATTATGTTAGTTTGTCCAAATACTTATGAGCCCTTAAAGTCGGGGGACTGTGTGAAGAAATGGTTGTCATTCCTACACGGTTCATACTACATTTTTGAAAAAAGCCTTAAATGAAAGCTGAGAGTCTGCACTTTAAGCAGGTATTCATTGTTTCATTTAAAACCCATTGTGGTGGTGTACAGAGCCAAAATGACGACAACTGTATCATTGTCCAAATAATTATGGACCTGACTGTATAAGTTTAACAGGGAGTGTGAAGGCAAGTCAGTGTGACACTGAATGATACAGGTCGGCCCGTTACATGTGAAAGTGGTGCGAATATTGAATACAGCAGCTAAACCCTTGTTGCATAAATGTACATTTATATACTAGTATCAGCAAGATAACTGCCAAGTATAAAATTTCTCTCTGACATGCTGAGGTAGAAGTATAAAGTAGCTGGTGGAGATACACAAGTACCTCAAGGTTGTACCTACAGTATATGAGTACATGTAATATGTTACTTTAGTGCCCTTCTTCCAAGACACAACTACAAGTGTAAAGAACATGAAGGGTAATAGTAACAAACACATACAGTATGGTGAAGCATTTGCAACTCACTTATTGACCTGAACTGGCACCATAAGTTGAATACCAAGTCTGTTGCCTTTCCATGCCTTTATGGAATATATCACTTATAATGTGGAATAAAATGCTAAAAGAACAACTCATTAAAGGTCCAGTGTGTGAAATTTAGTGGGATTTAGTGGCGTCTAGCTGTGAGGATGGCAGATTGCAACCAGCCAGAACTTCTCCCAGTCAGAATTCCTTCGATGGTTATTGTTCAGGAGGTTTTTAGCATGAGCTGAATTATAGGCAGAGGTCTCTAGAAATTAATGACTGTTTTTTAACATTTTAATTTTAATTGTCATTGTCATAAGCCTTGAGTAATTCGAACATTCTCCATTGCAAAATGTGCAGCCTATTCACAGAATAAAAAGAAATGTTTTTACATTTCATCAACTAAATGTGCGTCATACAGCCCATCACCTTTTACTTTAAATTTTGCTGAACCTCAATAGCGATGGTGTGTCTTGGATCTCCCCAGCTAAGCTAGCTATGGATTCCACATCTTTGAAGTCTTGAAGAAATAGAGAATTTAACAGTGCCTGGACATATTCATTTGCTTTTACCACCAACCCTGCAAATAAGCACCAAAAGATCATAAATAGCTCACTGCAGAGAAGCCATTTTGCGGTAAAACATGTCAAGAAAAGCTCATTTAGTCTATTATTACGTTAATGGGTGAATTTAGACTGACGCTTACCTTCATAATAAAGCTCAAATATGTTTTGCAGGCTCAGGCAGATTTTGTGAGAGCTTTTTGGGGGCAAAAATGGCTCTTTTGATAGTAAAGGCTGCTGACCCCTACCCTATCTACAGCCAGTGGTTGGCTTGTCTGATCAGGGCTACTGTAGAAGCATGACAATGCAACATGGCGATCTTTAAAGATAAGGACCTGCTTCCTATGTAGATATTAACGTCTCATACTGAGGCAACAAAAATGCAGCAAATATTATTTTCAGGTGATTAAACACAAAAAAACATACTTACATTGTCTTCTATTTCTGCCAACGTATCTCCTTAAACTTTAACAATGAAGAACAAAGTTTTGTTCCAGTGAAGCAACTGTTAAGAAATCCATGCATCTTCCAAACGTTACAATAAAAAGAAAAAGAAAACCATATCCAAGTATCTACAACTTATTTTATTTTGCATTATTTTACAATATAAACCATTCTATAGATTAAATCATGCTTAACTCTACCAAGTGAAGGAAAAGCATACTTAGAATAATTATTCAATATTTTTACTCAAATGTTAGACAGTAAAAAACAAAACAAAATTGCATCCAATGGCATAAAAATGAGAGCTGGATAAGGCCAGTAACCAACAGTGTTATGATGTACTGATAATGACAGTGGAAATAATGCTAAACAAATGTTATCATGAATGTAGGATGCCATTAAGTGCAAATAACGATAACAAAATTCAAGGATGAACTACAATTCTGAGATGACTTCTTCATATTTTCTTTCATAATGCATCATTTATTGTGTGCAGCAACGACCAGCTCAGTGTGATGCTGATGTAACACTGAGGTGTTAAAACACAAGTCACCACAACACATGGCACAGTTCCACTGACATCCTGGTTTTAATGCTACGGTTCCTTTTTTCAGTTCATCGTGACAGATTCTGCTGCGACACCTCTTTGAACTGAGCGCACAGCACACGTCCTGACTCCTGAACTGTTTATTATCATGGGGAGGCAGTGAAAAAATACAGCCCCAAAGGAAGTGAATGCTATCATACTGGCATTTATAGTATTATTTAAAAAAACGTGCATGTTGAAGTTTAATCTCTGGCTGAGGCTGTTGAGAGTGCAGAAGAATGGTTTGTGCTGACTGGGAGTGTGAAGGTTAGTGAGTCTCTCCATTGACCGGCGAGCCTTCCCTGTGGGGCGAGGAGCATCTGGAGACCCCTCGTTCAGTGTTATCAGAGCTTGAGCCACTTTGACTGTGTTGGTCTGCTGACGCAGCGCTCGTTGAAGTGGACGTGGGTTTGGCTTTTTCCTTAAAGTCTGTAATTATTACTGTCAGGTCTCCAACTGTGACCTCTAGGTGCTGGGCGCTGCTCCGGTCTATGTTTTTTAACCTGGGCCTGGTGAGGAGACAGACAAAAAGAAACAAACAGATCTGAAAACTGCTTGGAGGACACTAAATATTTCAGTCATCACAGACCACCGAACACTATTCTGCTATTTCCTTTGAAAACATGACTTCATTACCTCATCTTTTTATGGCTTTTCTTTTTCAGCATTGGTTCTTTATCACTCTTGTCTTTCTCC